TTTTTCCCTCTGTCATTCAACTCCCTGCACTCAAACAGGCATGCCAAAGAGGTGAAGCCTGAGAGTATCAGCATGAAGAGGGCATTTTCCCTCACCTTACCTTTCCAACACAAAATACACTATACGTAGCTGTATAGATCCCATAGTGAGGAATTTCATTAATACACAGCTGCAGTTTAAGTTTAGATGCACTATTTGATCAAAATTTTTCAAATGTTTATCTACAACAACATGAGAGGAACACATTTGCAAGTATATAGCAGTGAAGACACTAGGCAAGGCAGCTTCCTACAGATTAGTCTTGCGAGTCCCATTCTAATGGCGATACAGGCATTTATTTTCAATATCGAACTGATGCAAAGCAAGTAAATATAAAGCATTGTATGTACTCTAAGACTGAAGACAATTGTCTCCTAGATGTTTATCACTCTACAATATAATGCTGATATCAGTAATAGTGTTAGTCATCATAAGTCAGAATTTTAAGTGCCACGAATCTCACAGAACACAGAGGAATTGTATCAGTTTACATATACATTTTGGTTTTACAATGGCATGTAAAACCAAAATGAGTGTTTTCTAGGTGAAGAGTATCTGTTCTGATTTTTTTAGTTCAGCAAATATTCAAAGTTTCATGATAAAGCCACTGAAAAACTTCAGCTATGAAGACAGATGAGTAGTTTAGATATACATTAATACCTTATGCATATAATAAAGACACATGGATTAACAGTCCATGAAGGACATTTTCCTTCTGTCACCAATGATGCACATTTCGTGCTTCAAATGCACTTAATATATTTGTAATGATCTTCAGCAACATTTCAGTACTGTAAATACCTAAAACAGCTGAGCTAAGCAACTGGTGTCAGCAAGGCAGGACTCTGGGACTTGCGAGACACAACAGCTCTCCCACGCATAGAAGAGAGATTCATTATACAAGTGTTTCTCAAACAACACAAGTACCAAGCTGCCTCTTACTATATCCACATCTACATACCCAGATTCTTGGAACTTGTGACTGAGCACTAGACTTCATAGAGAAAAAACTTTCCTTTCCTCACCTTTCCTCTATTCTTGTTACATACCAAGAATCTACTTGTTCAGGATAGCTGGTTTCTGTTGAAATGCTGAGTAGCCTCTTCCAAGCTCCAAATTATAAATTTGGTACATGCTGGAATGATTTTGAAATGACATGAAATATTCTAATAGAAAAGCATATCACCTTTAAGAAAATAATTTTTTGATTTTGCAATCTTTTTATGCACACTTCATTTAATTCCAACAGATTTCTACTACCAGAAGGCTTAATAACTATGTCTTAAACTACCGATTCTAGGTGTCTTATAAAGCAAAACAAGTTATGCTTTCATTGGTGGTGGAATAATACTACCTTAAGCTTCACTGTCTTTTTCAGTAGCATCCTTTATAACATTGTAAATTTAATATTTGTTAGGCTTTGGTCTGCTTTGGAAATTACAATCACTTTTTCTTCAGGTTTGTTCCAGTGTTTTCTTGTGATAAATAAGGTTGCTTTTGAGTTCCCTTTCTGAATCTTGTCAGCACTTTCCAATCCCACATTTGAAGAATTGTGGCACTTTTCTGAAACATGTTGTCTCATAAATCTTTAAACAGAAAAATATTTAAACGGTATTTTGCAGACCTACATCAGTGAATGAACATGGAAACTTTTCTTTTATAAATAGGATTATAGGAACTCCATAGAAGTCAGTTAAGAGGTTTTTCAAACCTTTTAGAGATCTTGAATTTTAAAAAGAAAATAAGATAAATGTATCATGATAATCCTATTCACAATGCTTACATATTCTCTATTTATTAGACCTGTCATTGCATTTAACTAGCTGCTCATAATTATGAAAAAGATAAACACTGCTCTAAAATAGATTAATGGTATTGCACTCTATTAATAAAAAAATAGTCCCAGCAGTTCCTCTACTGTTAGATTAGGCAGTATAATTATGTGATGTGTAGGATTATTTACAGCATCTTCCTATAGAACTGGACTGCTTTTATTTTGCTGACAGATTTAGCTATCCTTCTAAAATTTAAAATGAGAATGTCTAATTCTGTAGTAATCAGTAAACCAGTATGTTAAGAGTGGTTCTCATAAAGTCACATTCCACATTCGGATTTTACATAATTTCAATATTTGACACATAATTAATGCTATGGGCATTCATATCACTTAAGAGAGAAACCTACAAAAGCACAAAAACTTCACAGACTTCTCAGTATACCCCAGGAGGAAAACAAAAAAAGCTATTCCCAAACAATGTAGATTTTATAGTAGGCCATGAGCATGGATCTTTTCCACAAGCAAAATTTCACTGAAAATTGCACAGTATCAGAGAAGATTCTGAGTTTGAATAATTGGCATTTTCATATGAAAAGCAAGCCTATATTTTGGCAAAAATCTCTTATCAGTAGAGCACAGAACAGTGGAAGCATTTTGCAGTCACTTTACTTTTTTTCTGAATGTTCACAGTGATACATGTCAGAACTGCTCTGTGTCTTCAGCAGTTGATTCTCACATGCGTCATCTGATAAGGAGGATCTGATAACGATTGTGCTGCTGCTCTACATCAGTAAATACACTCGACCTCTGCTTAGCTGACGTAACTATAGATCAGCCAATTCCTGAATGTCTGTTTTATCAGGAGAACTCTCAGCAGCCCAACAGCAAACAACAGTCTGGTTCTAGGTCCTAGTCTCAATGATTTTATGGTCCGCTTTACTCATGGACTCTCAGACCAGGACACAAGAATGGAATAAGAACAAGAATGTCCAGCTATGAAAATAAGCACATTAATTCATGATTATGTAGTTTTTTCCTATGCATAATTAAGGTGATTAACCCATCTTTTCAGACAGGAGCATGTAGTAAAGCATTGACAGAGAAGGAAGAACAAAAATGAAATACGCAAAAAATCACAAGGGAAATAAATGAGCATATTAAATTCCTATTTATGTTCCTTTTAACAAAATTAAATTTCCTCTTATAGCTAATCAATAAATTATTAACACCATTTTAAACCACTGTGGACATGTTTACAGCTTCAGCAAAGAGTCACAAATTCTAAAATTTTTAAGCTCAGACCAGCTAGTAAGAACTTTTTGGATATAAATATATGCATTATAATACCCAAACTAGCTCCATATTGTATCTACTATATAGAAATTGTAAAGTCAGAAATCCTGACAGCAGAATGTAGTTTTTGTTACTGTTTTGTTCAGTCATTTTTGACAGAATGATAGAAAATTTCAGCTTCAGTTCTTTGTCTCTAGAGAGGCACACACCAAATGAAAATATTGATAAATATCAGAAAGAAATATTGATAAATGTCAGAAAGAAATGCTGTATTAAACTGCTTGAAGAGTAACTGGCATAATGTCAAAAGGTGTCTTGAATTTTAACCTGCCTATCAATACAGACAACTTGCCACTGGTACAAAGCTGAAAATGTCTGGGACCTGCCCAAGCAAAAAAAAAAAATTGCAGAAAAACTACTGTCACAGTAAATGCATAATTTTCTTTTCATGTGTTCTTTGAGATGTATTTCTACATGTTACTGTACTGGATGCACTTCCAAGGAATTGCATACACCTGGTGTACTGGAGGAATTGGCTTTCTCCCATAACCCAACAAAATGCACCAGAAGTCACTTTGCTGCCTGCATGCTTTCTCAAGCAAGGTCAGAGGAAAGGAGCCAATCTACAGAGCAGTCCAGTCGGTCTTCAGGTTTGAGGTTTGACATATGTTTCGGCTCTGATATTATCTTAAAAGAAAACCGTAAATAAGGCTTGAAACAGTATTAACCAAATGGATAATCAACCACAGATATGCACAAAAATCCAAAATAAAACAAAACAAAAAAGCAGCATTCATAATAAAGCTATCATCTACCACAACTGCTACCAGTACCCATCTAAGCGAGAAAATATTTAAGTAATAACAGAAAGGTCCATCTCATGCTGATTTCACTCCAAATCCTCAGCACTTAAAGCCATGCAACCAATTCAGCCTGCGACATTTGTGTGCTTGAAAGGCATCTTATTGGGAATGCTTTACGCCTATTTTTCTGTCTTGTTCTCTGAAATAGAAGGAAAAGCAATATAGGCACAGAACTATAGAGAGGATTACAAGTTGATTAAATGTACACAGAATACAATAAAAGAGACAGATTTTCCATTTTCATAAGCCAAAAAAACCAAAATAAACCTCTTTAAACAGCCAGTGCATATAAATAATGTAGCTGTTTAGGTCATCTGCAAAGCTTTCTATATGGTAAAGAATTGAATTATGGTTTCCTGCTCTGTTATTTGTTGGTTTTGGTCACTACCCAGGTGTATGGAAACGTTTTCAAAGTAATATTTATCCCTGAAAAAAAAGAAAATTCTTGAGAGGTACAAACTGGCTAGCTCCTCTAGAAGGAAGCAGAGGATTTGCTTAATGTGGTTCTGGCACACAAAACATAAATCTGGTTTCAGAGAAAGATGCTATATAATCTGGTTTCTTGCTTCTTTCAGAAATTAGATGCTGCCAGAATTGACAGAAGATTTTAGCATCCCTAAAGTGCAAAGCCTTCTGTGTAAACATACATGTTCATTTTTAGTTATCAGCTCTAAAAGTTATGTGGCTTTGCTTCTTTAATACTGTGAACAAGACAAATTTTGAATGGTCTGTTATTTATTAAAGTTCCTGTCAAGAACAGCTGCTGCATAGCCAGAACCGGAGATTGGAGAGCTCAGTTATGTACATTTTACCCACAACAGTAAGCAATTATGTGTGCAAGCAGTTCCGTTAGCATCAAGAGGAAGACAATGTAATTACAGATTTGTACAACTTGGCCTCAGAACAAAACAAAAACAAAACCAGGAGCTTAATTTCTGATCAGACATCTTATATATTCAACATACATTATGCCCAGAAACAGTAGGGTGAAATCATTGTGCCATTGGAGATGCCCTGAAGTATCTCACCTGGTCGCCAGCTGCTGCTCCAGAAGAGCACAGGTGTCCTGATGGTCCTGTGTCATATCTGCCAGCCCTGGGTGGATGTTTCAGGCACACTTAGGTGTCTCAAATGGCACTAGATACCTGTATTTGAGCAACTGATGCAAGCCTAGGCTGTCATTTCTTTACAGGTTAAGCTGATACACACTCCTTCAGACAGAAGATAATCAGTTTAGAAATCACTAAAATCTACTTGGAGATAAACAGGAGAAGGGTTACATTTCTTCAGAGACAGAGAGTGTGTGGGATGGTGCTACTGCTGCAGTATGACATAAAAAGCCTGGTCTTGTACATGTGCTATGAGGAGAACAGAAAAAAGAGAGAAAACCAGAGAGACTGAGACAGAGGAAGCACATATATACTGCAGTCTTCTGAAATGTTTGGAGCATGATTATCCCTTGTTTTGTATGATTTTTTCACCTTTTGTGACTGATTATAACGTGGTTTAACAAAGGAGGCTTTGTCATTTACTACTGTGACCGGGTTTTACCTCACTTCTCAGTCAAGCAAGTAGGAAAGCAACGTAGATTCTTAACATCACATTTTATTTACACCACCCACATGGTATTAAAGGAGCACAGATTAAATCTGCCTACACTGCTGGGCAAATAATGTACTAGCCATAACATAAATGGGAATCAAATCCATCAGATAAAATGGATGGTAATTTTTTTGTAGTTCTCTTTTGAGAGCAACTATATTCAGTAGTCCTAGCTTGGACTCTATGCTCCTAATCCAATTTAGTAGTTACTAGGTCTGTCTGCAGGTTACCCAGAGAACATGTGAAGAATCTCCTCCCTCTCCCTTCCTGTCTCCCAGTACTAAATCTTCCCAGTGGCTTCCCTCGCCCTTCCAAACCAAGGACACACACTGTGGTTCCCTGGGGAGAGACTGGCTGAGATTTTTATCTAAGTCAACTGTGTGAGGTGGTACCTGTCCCAAAGCAAGAGCACTGACATCACTGCTTATCACAAACAAAGTTGGAATTCAGCCTCTCACCTGTGGCATCTGCTCATTGAACCTTAGAATCTCTCCAAATCATACTCAGATGTTTTTAAGTGAGGACAGAGAAAGAACTAAGGGGCTAACTTGTCTAAATGTGATGGATAGTTTAAAGGCAATTTTCAGAAATGAGCTAATAATAAAAAGCTACATAAGATGTTAGTATCTTAAATGATAGTTTATCAACATAGCCTACATAAAAATAAACACAATAATAAAAATTTATCATGTTCAATCACAATTTTTAGGGTCTATGATTGTAGGTGAGGTCCAAAACATGTAATTTACAAAAAAACTTTTAGGGAGTTCAAACTGTACAAGTGAAACAGATGCTGGATATTTGAGATATATATTTCTATGTCAAGTTAACACAGCCGTGGAAGAGAAATCAGCACCTGTTAAGAAACAACTAAATGACCATCTAAATGGCTAACTACCAGAATTCTGGCTGGATGTAGTGAATCTTATGCATTCCCACTCTAAGACCACTGGGAATTCAAAAATTCTATCTGACAGGAGGTACATGTCTTAGCAATGTTTAGCTCCAGTTTCATTTACAAAATTATAGACTATAATTTATGCACAATACTTTATACCACAGGCCAATAAAAGGAACTTATTAAACCAGTCACAACAACCTTCCTAGGCAGTGTCTGTATGTCAAATTTACTGCCACCTCAACAGTCTCTCTGTTATTGTCATAATGATTGTACAAACACCATCCTTAAAGGGATGATCAGTAATACTTAGGGACTTTCTGTTTCAAGAGATTCTAAAAATCATTAGAAATGTATGAGTACAATTATGCAGGTATGAATGGACTCAGGATCATTGTACACAACATCCTTATATAGAGAGTTTTAGTATCTTTTTCTAATTTTAAAGAAAACACCATTAGTTAACACAATTTCATTTCATCTGCCATAAAATAGAAAACAAATGAGTTCAAGCTGTGAAAAACATCTGTAGTATGCATGCAAGTAATTAATGTATAGCTTTACATGTTCACACTGGGCCACTATTCTGGTTTTGAGTTACTCATCAAAGAAGTTGACAGTTCTGTTCTTTTCCCTCTATTCACTCAACACTGTAAAAAGTGAGATCCAACCATCTTAAGCTGCTTTTAAGAGCATTTAGCTACTAGAAATTATTTGACTTGGTTCTGGTCTATGGCACTACTATTGCCACATAGAAGAAGTTTTCTCCTAAAAAGTCATCATAAAAATAATATAAATAAACACACCCTTCTATCTTTACACAACCTATTCCACTAAAATTAGATTACTCCCTTTATACTTTAGGAAACCATCAGAACATATAAATAGTCTATTAGACAGAGCAAACAACTGGCCTGGCAATAACTGAGACACCTGCTTCTGCTTTTTTAAGATCCTAATGACTTTCTGATACTTCTTAACCACTTAAAGGTAACAGAAGTGCCACTAGCCCCATGCAGCACATCATCTGGGGTAGCTGTGCAGTAGAGACCTGAACATGGCTGTCCCAGCTCTGAGACAAAATTGTTCAGCCTGTACTTCTGAGAACACTTGAATTGGCTTTGGAGCAAATCTGTAATTGTAATATATACAGTTTTCCAAAGGAAAGAAGTCCTATTTGTTAAATCAGAAAGCCTCATTTGTGAACAATGGAAAATACTACTAAACTGTACTTTTCAAAGAGTGCCAGCTATTTTGCTGCAGAACTTCACAGCATACCATATCACGTCACTAGAGCCTAAAATAAAACCTTCCCAGAAACCTAAGTGCCCTATAATACTAATTTTAAGAGATTCCAAAGTTATTCCAGGCAAATGGTTTTATCTAAATTTAGCTGTTGACCCCTATAGTGAAACCTATTTTGAAAAGTCTGTATGTTTGGGGTAAACATAAGAAACAACATGGAACAATATGTTTTCTCTGTGCATGTCATGAGCTGTATCTCACCAAATGCCAGCTAAAAAGTAAATCTAAATCTAATCTTTTCCTTCTGATTCTGCATTGGGACCAAACTCCCAGTAACTATAACAAAGGCTTCTTACCATTCAGTGACCTCTGAAGCATTATGTCTCTGAATGTGTTTCTAGAGGTTAAAAAGTCATTTGTCAGCAACACAAGATCAAAGGGCTCATTCTTTTTATGTCAGGACTCATCCATCAATGTGGCATATCATTTCATTATAGCTTTGTTTATGTACCTGATAACACTGGCATTGCTGAAATCTTGTCATAACAGGTACCAAAAGAAAATGGAAATAAAAGATAGAAGAAGAACAGGTGCATCAGTAAAGGTAATAGTAAAAATGTATCAAAGTTCTCAGCTCCCTGACTTTTCTTGACTATTCTCTAAGAAGAACCTGAAAAGATCCCAGTCTCATTCTGCTGTTTCCTGGGACAGGAGTAACTGCTACTGCTTAATTAATAGTTAACTGTCTAGCCACATTTTACATACTTTTTGCTGAGAGATGCATTTATTCATTTACTGTGGCTGAGCCTGTTGGATTGCCTAGAAAACTGTACAATTCAGCTGGGACAAGGCAGCTGCAGAGGCCTGAAAGTGTTGAATTCTCATGAGTCCTGACAGAGGAATTCCCTTCAAGGTCAGAGACAATCATACTCTGCACATTCCCCAGCCAGAAGAATTTTGCAACAGGAAGGTAAAATCCAAAAAGTTATGTTGGGAACAAACTAAAAAACCATAATGTCCATATCTTATAGTTACTAAGCAAGGACATTCAGTGCAAGGGAAATTTTTCATCTTTCTCATCTTCACATCATGGAATATTTATCTAACTCCCTTAGCTGGGAGATACATTATGTCTAGATGCTGATAATTTAAATTATGTCTTAATCTAAACATTAAAGTATAAAATAAAAAACCTCATCTGGTAATTTTTATCTATTTGAACAAGGGGATGATGTGACTTTAAAACTATGAATCTGACCCAGTGATTTTAAAATAAAAATATATAAACCTGCTTTGTGCTTGGTTTTAATTTAGAAAGTATTTATATATATATTT